TTGGTCAGTACCCGTCGTCTGACTTCGGCGTCTTCTGCTGATACTAGACCATGTGCGAAAATCAAGCACTTGAAATCATCGGCAGTCAGTTCGGCTAGTTTAAAATCACTACAGAGCTTGTTTACCGATGCTGCAAACGTTAGAAAATCTTGCTGGTTGTTTTTGACTGTGTTCAGGCATTTCCAACGTTTGTGGAACAAGGTTGTGTTAGGCCCGAATAGTTCCGATAGGAGATTAATATTCTCTGAAAAATTCAAGTCAGTGCTTTTCTTGGGTAGTATGAAATCTACGAACCTACTATGTTCTGTAGTTCCCAGTTTTCTCAATAGTAGACATACCTTTTTTTTACTGGGCCATTGTTCACAGTCTACGTTGAAAATATCTTCGTAGCGCCTGTAAAAAGGCTGGAACGTTTTGTCTTTCTCTGGTACGTATTCAAATGTTTCCATTGAATTGTAGATTATACTCTGGGAGAATATTGTATCTTTTTCAGAATTTGAGACTTTTAATGCATTTACGAGTAATTCTTTAAGTTGTTTCTGTTGTAGTTCAGCATTCTGAAGCGTAATTTTTTGGAATTCCATTTGTTGTTTATGTAATTCCAAAAATAGTTGTTGTTGTCTTTCTTCTGATTTTTGTTGCTGATCCAAATTTAGTTTTAACATTTGGGCAACTACTTTTTGCAAATTTGTGTAATAATGCCAGCTTAATTTCTAGTTCAACACTGCTGTGGGAACGCGTGGAGTTTCTGTGTATTTTTCGAGTACTCTGTCGCTATTGATATGGTGAGAACGAAATTCTCGAATCTTTTCTGTCGCCACTGATGTGGGATTGGCAAGGTATTGCGGTTTTCGACGTGAATGCGTTTCTCGAATTCTTCGTCGACCCAGATGTGGGATTGGTAAGGTATTTAGGTTTCGCCGTGAGTGCGTTTCTCGAATCCTCGTCGCCACTGATGTGGGGCCAAAGTTGGGACCACAGAAGTAAAACACGGAACACGGATTAGATGTAAGAAACATATATTAACAACAGGTTACAGAGATATTGTAAGCGGAGCTTACTATATGTTAGTGTCCAACACTGGTAGTCGTACGCGTCTCTCACTGTCTCTCTCTATGTCACTCTGTCACTCTCTAGAGTTCTATGTCGCCTACTTAATATAGACCTGGAAGAGTCTATTGTGTAGGTAGTTTCCGGTCTCACAATACCAGAAAAACAATATTTCTAAAAACAGTGCTCAATACAAAGTAGAGCGAATAATATTTATTTAAAAATTATAACATAAGTATGTTATAACATCACCACAAAAATAGTCATTTTGTTTCAACACTTCTGGTGTCTTGTCAAGTGATGGTGTTGATTGTAAAAATCAACACCATCACTTGACAACACACACAAAGTGTTGAAACAAAAAGGCTATTTTTGTAGTAATATTAAAACATACGTTATAATTTTTAAGTATATATATATATATATGTGTGTGTGTATGTGTATATCTTTAAACATATATTATTAAATATAACAGACAATGAATGTCTATTATGTATGATTATGAGCCGTTCTAATGTTTGCTTTAATTTCTGGTGAAAATAAAAGCAAAAATTGTCCAACATTTGGATATTTTTTATTAAGCTGGTCCTAAGCTTTCAGGCTGGTTATATAGACATGAAACAAAGATATCCACCATTAAAGTTTATATTTTGTTATTTTGACATAGAAAATTGGTATGCGACGTGGCATGACATCATAGAATCGCATCTTGAACTTATTATCTGTTTCTGTTATTCCGCGACCGTTAACATCGCATAGCAATTTTCTATGTCAAGATAACAAAATATTATCTTTGACGGTGGCTATCTTTGTTTCATGCTTGTATAACCACTCGGGGGATGGCTCATGTGAGCCGAAAGCTTAGGACCAAATTAATAAAAAATATCCAAATGTTGGACAATTTTTGTCTTTATTTTCATCAGAAATTAAAGCAAACATTAGAACGGCTCATGATCAGACATAATAGACATTCATTGTCTGTTATATTTAATAATATATGTTTAAATAATGATATATATAAAATATAAAAGTGAACATTGAAGTCAACACTCAGAGGCGACAGACTGTTTCATGCTAAATTCAATCATCAGGCCACATGTTTTTTCTCGGCTATTTACATATACGGGTTAGTGGTGCATTGTGGGTAGTCTATTCTAACGGTTAGTTGGAGGGGTGTGGTTTGTTAACTTGTTTACTATTTATTTGGATTAATTTATTTTATTTGTTTTTTCTTATTTATTTTTATATATCCTTTTCGGTTTTCGATTTTTAAATTCCTACCCCTATATTACCAGACTTAAGAGAAGTACAAGAAAAAGGTCTCAATTATAGAAATACTTGGTAAGATCTTGCAAAGAATTATGGCAACCAGTAATGAAGGAATACTCTAAAGTTACACTAGAAAAGATGCCAGTGTTATTAAAGCCGATAAAAAGGATTGATATGAATCGATTAGAGGGCAGATTAAATAATTTGGGAAAGGGAGGTATGGTCAAAACAGATAGCAGCAACGATGTGAAAAACTTAGAAATTATAGAAAGAAATCGATTAATGATGTTGTGGCGAGCATGCAACGACTCGAGAAATGAATTCCGATCAGTGATCTTTACCCAAACAGATCAAATATCGGCAAGGAATAAACACAAGTGAATTCGTCAGAAGCAGAAATGGGGCCAGTACCTGTTGAAATGGAACCAATACCTGTTGAAGAAGAACCAAAGCATCCCACTGCGGAATGAAGAATGGTATCCAAGAATGACAAAGCAAAACACACACATACATACGCCCACACAAGAGAAACCTGAAAACTTTGCATGAAAAATAAAAGGAAAGAGAAAAACTTTTATAGACTTTGCATGAAAACAAAAAGGAAAGACTTTGATAAACAGTGCATGAAGAGAAAGAAGAAAAAATCTTTTATAAAAACGTTGCATGATAAAAAAAAAATGTAACAGGGCCAGTAGAAACACTGCATGAAAATTATTCTTTGTCTCTTACTACTCCATGACTTAGTATACATGACAAATAGTATACTAGTAGATTTGGGTTACTAGTAAATGACAGGAGGGGTATAGGAGGAATGTGATACTATTTGTCGTTGCTGCAGTAAAACAGAAAAAAAGTTTTGTTAAAACATAAGAAAGTTTTATGTGGTGAGAGACATTGAAACGAGAAGGGTTAATACCAAAAACTCGTGAGAAGAATTGAGAATTTAATTCACACATAAACGACTTGAAGTGTATATCAAGCAGTTTGAACAATGAAAGAGTGGCCCAGACTTGATGAGCAATGCTGATTGACACACAGCTGCAAATACTAGCTGTAAAGCGAAAATTTCATTTTTCGGAAACAACGAATTTGGAGTTGATTCTCCTGATCGAAAGTGATTCGAAACAGGAGGGGGTAGATAAGCCACCCATGCTGACTGAGGAGGTTTAGCGAGAGATAATAATATGAGAGATTGGGAGAAGGGAATTCCCCAAAATTATGATCATAAATACAAATGCGCGAAGCGAATTCGCCAGGAGATGAGTCGGAGCAGAAGAGGCAGAAACAGAGGCAGAATAGGCCTACGTAATTATCTGCCGAAGAGAAGCCTCCGACTTCAACCTTGTGCCAAACTTTACCAACAGCAGCAAGCCCGATTTTGCCAGGTCAGCAATACTAATTTTGAACTGAAATGTCCACATTTAAACAGACATCTATCTGTTAGTGTATCAGTTTATTGATAGCCTTTAAAATGTTTTCTTTTCTGACCAGCCGCTAAGATCTTAAACAATTGAATTGCTTTGTCTGAATTTAGCAATAATATTATCGTTATTAATTACCATCTGGGCTACAAGGAACTTTGTGGCTTACCAAAGATCAAATCTAATCTCACAAACCTAATCATCAATCTTTTTTCGATTTCACTTTGGGTCATGTTTATTCTTGTTTTTATGACATTAGTACTGGTCGTTTTGAATGGATGTCAGATCAGAGAGGAGAAAGCTATTAAAAAGTACAAATTGCGAAGAGCTCCAAAAAAACAAGAAGTTGGGAACAGCCATGATCTCCCAAGTCCCGAAGGTACACAGTACATAAAAAAGAAGAAGAAGAAGAAGAAGAAGAGCAACAACAACAGCAGCAACAACAAGTGTTAGTAGTACGAATATTATCTTCACTCTTTTCATCAACTATTATTGTTAATAAAATATTATATAAACAGATTTAGAGAGATATATAGATAGATATGAACAGACTTAGATAGATAGATAGATAGATAGATAGATAGATAATGGAAAATGCAATAGATAGATAAATATGAAAAGACTTATTTTTGTGATGTCAACGAACACTCGTTGCCACTTTTGTAATGTCAACCAATACTCATGGCACTTTCAAATTGCTCGTTGTAGTAAAGATGTTGTAATGGCAGATACAACTATAGTAACGCCGTTGAACTATACTGGTGTCAGAATGAGAAGATAGTATAGGTAGAAAATGAATAGTAATATCAAAAGTGAACTAATGATAATATTTGGTGGACTATTCAAACTAATATCATGATTATTCTTGTCCTGATCATTAGATTTTTGCCAGTAGACTTTCCGGCCATCCTCAGACATTTATTCATCTTATAATCTCGACGTATTGTTTTTATTCACCACTTCTCTTTGAAAGATAGATAGACAGAAACACTTTGAGAGACATCAATATATATATATATATATATATATATATATATATATATATATATATATATACAGAGAGAGAGACATAAACTAAGTACAAATATAAAATAAGAGAGATAGATGGATAGATACACACACACACACACACACACATATAAATGTATATATATATATATATATATATATATATATATATATATGCATAGATGCATAGATATAAAAAAGTCTTATATAGATAAATATCAACAGACTTAGATAGATAGATAAAAAACAGAACTAGATAGATAGATAGATAGATAGATAGAAAACAGAACTAGATAGATAGATAGATAGATAGATAGATAGATAGATAGATAGATAGATTGGTTTCAAATTGCTACAAGCATGCAGTAAATTCGAGCCTACTTATTTTGATACGGATTCTTCGGTTGAAGGAGGACGAAAAGGTAGCCTGAAGAGAAAATCAAGTATGTGCACATCAAAGTGCTGATGCTCTGATGCAAAAACCGTGATTTTGACCGATTCTTGCAAAGATTGGCACATCGCCTCTCTCTTTGTGCATTGCAACCATCGAAAAAAGAAAACACCATTATACCAGACTTCGATGAACCGTATATTGATTTCTGGGTATTGATTTCGAAAGAAGAAGATAAATTAATCATAATAGTTTTCATGCTGATCTCTTGCAAAAAACTATCTATTTGAATCGCTAAACACTGATCGATTAAAGTTAATTAAATCTTTCTTATTTTCTTGCTTTGATGTACACTGAGTGGTGATCAGAGGACTGGCCGATCGAAAAGATAAGCGTACAGACGCCCAGTGGAAATATATGCCAAAATATCGATAGGCAAACTGGTGGTGGATTCGTTGTTTTACGAGACTGAAATTAAATCATATTTTGTGTTGGTGTTTTTCTTTTATTTTTGGTTTCTCTTTGATTTGAATTTTCTTTTTTTTCGGATTTTATGGCGCGTATCAGATCGTAAAGGGAATATTTTAGTCACAAGAAGGAGAATGTTATAGAATGGAAGTGAGAGTGAGATAAGGCGAGGATCAATAAAAGAAAGGGAAAAGAAGAGATTAATGTGAAGAGTAGAAAGACAAAAGAGAGAAGAGGGTTGGGAAATAAAAGAAAGAAATAAAAGTCTGAGAAAGGATATAAAGATAATTGCGAAACGATGGGAAGGAAGAAATGCAGTAAATGATGATAAAAGGGAAGAAAAGTGGGTAAAAAAAGATATCCCGAAAAGAAAGAAAGATAGAATGAAAGAAAGATAAAAGAAACAAAAAAACTGTTGTTGAAAGTAAAGAGAAATAAATGGGAGAAAAGAAATGGGGATGAAGAGAAAGAAAAACGCAAAATAGATAAAGAAGAAAAAGATTAAGAAAGAAAGAAAGAAAGAAAGAAACAGAAACAGAGAAAAGAAGAAAAAGATACCTCGAGAGAAAGAAGCAAAATAGATAAAGAAAAAAGAAAGAAAGAAAGAAAGAAACAGAAATAGAGAAAAGGAGAAAAAGGTACCTTGAGAGAAAGAGGCAAAATAGATAAAGAAGAAAAAGATTAAGAAATAAAGAAAGAAATAAAGAAAGAAAGAAAGAAAGAAAGAAAGAAAGAAACAGAAACAGAAACAGAGAAAAGAAGAAAAAGATACCTCGAGAGAAAGAGGCAAAATAGATAAAGAAGAAAAAGATTAAGAAAGAAAGAAAGAAAGAAAGAAAGAAAGAAAGAAAGAAAGAAAGAAAGAAACAGAAACAGAGAAAAGGAGAAAAAGATACCTCGAGAGAAAGAAGCAAAATAGATAAAGAAAAAAGAAAAAGAAAAGAAAGAAAAAAAGAAGAAAGAAAAAAAAGAAAGAAACAGAAACAGAGAAAAGGAGAAAAAGATACCTCGAGAGAAAGAAGCAAAATAGATAAAGAAAGAAAGAAAGAAAGAAAGAAAGAAAGAAAGAAAGAAAGAAAGAAAGAAAGAAAGAAAAAGAAAGAAACAGAAATAGAGAAAAGGAGAAAAAGATACCTCGAGAGAAAGAAGCAAAATAGATAAAGAAAAAAGAAAGAAAGAAAGAAAGAAAGAAAGAAAGAAAGAAAGAAAGAAAGAAAAAGAAAGAAACAGAAATAGAGAAAAGGAGAAAATGATACCTTGAGAGAAAGAATGAAAATGTAGAAAAGAGAAAAAAATTAGAATATTGAAACACAAATAACTGAAAGGAGGAATGACTGACGGAAAATAATTGAAAAATTGAAGAAAACTGATTAAAAAAATGATTAAACAAAGGATACTTGAGAGAATGCTTGAAGGAGAAAACAATAATTGATATGCGTTAAAAACAACTGGAGGAATCGACGAACGAATTGTTGAAATGAAAAGAAAGAAGAATGAATGAATAAAAAAATGAGTGAAGACTTGCAATGAAATAAAATAAAGCATGTTTTTAAAAAAATACAAAACGAAGAAAGAAAAAGACAGAGAAAAAATTAAAATGAAAGAAAATGAAATATTTAAAAAAAAAAAAATAGACAAAACGTCCAAGCAATGAAAAAGCCAAAACATTCTCGTCCACAAGAAGGTATTCAAAATAAATTGTTTGTTCATTTGGACGGATTTTATGAAGTGTATCGAGCCTTAAACTTTTCATCACGTATCCACATATATATATATATATATATATATATATATATGTGTGTGTGTGTGTGTGTGTGTGTGTGTGTGTGTGTGTGTGTGTGTGTGTGTGTGAACCAGAAACCTTTCATTTACTTCAAATTTAATGTCAGCCATTTTCGTTCGTTTCTGGAAATTTGCCATGAAAGGTCAGAGACAATTTCAGAATCTAAAAGAAGAAACGAAATCAAATTGAACAACATTAAATTTAAGCAAAAATTTCCACAAAAAAAAAATTCCAGGAAAAAGTCATTTGACAAAGTAAAAAAAAAATAATTGTTTTTTTTTTTTTTTTTAATATTGTAATTTCACGTTTCACTGCTGGCGTAAACGGGAACTGTGTCGTAAATTTAGGTTACGACGTCGATGATTGCAGAAAGTAAGTTCGTACTTTTTTGGGGGATTTTATTTTTATTTACTGGGAATTATGTCGTGATATGAAATGGAGTATGTTTTATTAGGAAAATTCGTGAAGAATAGAGGCAGATAAAAATTATGTTGGGTGTACAGCTTCTGGTTCCTCTTATCGACTTATATACAGGCATACACAAGTCATATATGAAATGATAGGTATATATAAATTTTACTGCGTCACTATTCACCTACTTTCCAATCACAACTCGAGAAGTTAACAGCCGGTACGTCAAGTGCAGAAAGACCTGAAAAAAACTGAAAATGATTCAGGTCTTTCCTTGACTAATCGAGACAAGATTAAACAGAGTCATAAGCAACAGACTAGGCAATGCATATTAAGCTTTCGGTAGACTATAAAAATATGTCTGCAACAAAAGAAACCTCATAAGAAGCGCTAAAAACAAGAGTATACAGAACCATCGTGCTGTACACCCTTTTATATGGTGCCGAATCCTAGGTCATATACCGATACTGTATACGCCTACTAGCAAACTTTTATCAGTTTTGTTTCCGAAATATTCTAAACGTGTATTTTATTACTAATAGTGACGTTTTAAAGGCAGTCAACGCAAACGAATCATCTCCGTGACCACATGACGAGGATGAAGGATCAGCATCTCCAGGGATGGTTCTACTCGGAAAACTAGTCACCGCCCGACGGTGAAGTCCTGACCCACTGAAGAAATATAAGAACTACCTGAAAAAGGGACTCATATTCTGTGAATTCAACCACTATAAATGGGGAAAAAAGACGACCGACAAGGTGAGATGAGGGACCTCCTCTCTATCAGGCAATGAATCTTGTCAACACAAGCAACAGAAGAAGTGTAGAACAGAAGCAGAAACAGGGGCTCCCACCAGTTTCGAAACCTTCCCCTCATAATTGTTTATGGAAAAACAATTTCAAAGTGTTTCTGTTTTATAACTAGCGGATGCTTTTTTTAAAAATTTTGGTCTTCTCAGCAGCATCCACTTTGACCAAAAGGGAACGGAAGAATAAAGAAGTGGATCTTACGTGTCCAAATCATCGGGTCACAATAGTAAATATTGTTAATAAAAAGGCATACGCTGAAATTCATTTAATATAGTTATCATTTAAATATATTATAATTTTTAAATCGCGTTGGTTAACATTTCCATGAAGGGCCTTAACTCTTACCCAGCCATTAATTCCATCCAATGTAGTTCTAATATTAATCATTAAAATTACTGTTGGGAAATCAGTTGTGAACTTTTGTGTCCGACTTATCCGTTTCGTTTTATTATTTCGGGATCTTTACTTAAAGCTGTCAGTTTCATATCCTTAACCAAGGTTTTTATGTTCAATGTTCTGCATTTTTTTTTTTTTTTACTCAAATTCGCAACGCCATCTTCTTCAAATGCATTCTTGCTAGTTATTTGACTTTTCTTACTTTTTACTCTTCTCTTTTCTTAATACTTATTTTCCTTTTCCTTATTTTTCCAATGCTTCTATTTTCTTTTCCAATTCTCTATTGATCGCCGTTCAAAACTTTACAACTTCCAATGGAGTGTTCCCATCACTCAATAACTTTTCAATATCTTGTCTCTTTTTTTATGACTTCATCTTTCTTAAAAACCTTAAAAATCTTTATACATCTGAAATTTAAAAAAAACATATAATTCTGCTTGTCCATTCTTTAGTTCCTAAGTTAGCACGTATGTACGCTACGCTCTGTCAATGCCTTATAGATAACGGACTATTTTTTTGCTTTGAGTGGAAAGACGGAAAAAGACATATCAGAGACTCTACTTGTTTTCAGGGAGAAAATAAAAGAAAGAAAAAAGGAAAGAGAAGATAGAGGAGGTAATATAGTCATGGTTAACGTCTACGCCAGTGAAATGAAAAACTAATGCATTTTTAATCTTTTCATTTGTACCCTTTTACTTCTTTAAAAAATGGCCGGCTTCATTGTTATTTCAATATGCTGTTAACGTTAAGCTCAAATATTTAACGATGCAACAGGAGAATTTTCACCAATATTTTAAAGACGTAGAACTAGCAAGAAGTTTATTCAATCGTTAACTTAAGAATCATGATTCGTCAGAAAGTTCAAATTACAAAACCGCGAAATTTTCAAGGGCACGACTAGTTACATATTGCTAAAATTAATATGATATGCATTTATTTGCAATATACAATGCGACTCACGTCCAAGTATTCCATTGATGCCACAGTGATTACCATACGTTGCATTCCGTTTTCGTTCACGTCGGTGTGCAACGAACGTCTTAAAAGAGCCTGCTGTATATACATAAGATAACAAGATGCAAAACAAATGCCACGTCGAGAAATAAGAACGTGAACCTTGTTTCCCATCATATAAAATCATTATTTTTATTCAGAGCTTCAGCTTTTCGTCTGGGTGGGTACGTTGGTGACACTTGGGACAACTACTGTTGTGTTCATTTAATAGTTCAGCGCATCCCTTCTATCATCTCTTCGCACGTCGACACACCCCGCCAATACGAACGAGTGGTGTCGAAAACATGCGACGGATAAATCTGTACCCGACCAAGGACAGGCCAGAACTGACCCCCCGAACCGAAACATAACTCTTAATATAGACCAACACCAGGAAATAATCAATGTCCCGTTTGATGTTAAGTTGCCTCCACTTCTTTATTCTTCCGTTCCCCTTTGGTCAAAGTGGATGCTGCTGAGAAGACCAAAATTTAAAAAAAAAGCACCCGCCAGCTATAAAACAGAAACACTTCAAATCGAGATAAAATCTTACGTATCCAAACCATCGTGTCACAATAGTAAATATTGTTAATAAAAAACCATAGGCTGAAATTCATTTAATATAGTTATCATTTAAATATACCACCAAAAACTTTTCCAAGTTTACAGAATTTATTTTTAAACACAGTTGCAACTAATTACTCAGCACTTAAATGCATTAACCGCGTTACTTAGAACAATTTCTTTAAATGTAAAAACAGCCTCAGTTGACAATCATATAATTAGGTACCTCAACTAATTCGGTAAAAAAAGAGCATACCCTGATGAAAAAATTCCCAAAACTTGATAAAAACAAAGTTTTAACATCAAAATCTTAAAGGCCAAAATATTTTTAACACCATTAAATTTCTAAAACTTTCTCGTAAACTTACTTTTAATTTTGGTTAAAAATTTTGGTTTTTCTTTCGTCAATAATGGGTACCAAAGATTAGTATAGGAAATTTGAGCATCTTTTTGTGGTAAAAACACGCTCATTTGGAAATTCTTGCAAAAACAATTGTCGAAATTTATTGAAACTGCCTGGGCTTATTCACAAATGAATTAAATTACTTTTAAAATTTTATTTTTAGAAAATCTTGGTAAAAATATTTTTTACGATGAGTTAAAAAACGTAAAAACAAACGTAGGAAAAATATTCATCAAACTCTTACACAAACCCGAATAAAGCGCTCTCCACAATAATTTCAACAAAAACATAGTAAAAATAGCTACAGTTGTACCGAGAACATGACACAAATAACAAAAAAGCACAACAGGAAAACTATCAGCAAACCACCCGAAAATTCACGTGTAACTGCGGAATAAAGAACGAATATCCCTTAAAAGGTTATTGCTTACAAAACAATGTAATATACCAATCCACGGTTAGAGCATCAGATAATGTAGAAAAAATATAGATAGGAGTAACTGAAGGACTCTGGAAACACAGAAACTATACACACAAAACATCTTTCACAAATAGTAAATACGCAACAGCGCAATGTTTTCCAAGTATTAAAATTAAAAACAAAACGCAAATCACACCAAAAATATCATGGAAAATAAGGAAAAGAACATAAGCCTATAACAATCAATCCAAAAACTGCAAATTCTGCTTGGAGGAAAAAATAGCTATAATTGTCTTCCCAGACAAAAACAAACTCTAAATAAACGATCAGAACTCATCTCAAAATGTAGACACAAAAACAAATTTTTACTATGTTACTTAAAAATATAAAATTGAAAAGAATAATTAAAATAAAAATAAATAAGCAAAAACAAGTAAAATAAATTAATCCAAATAAATAAATAAAGTAAATAATAAACACATTAACAAACCACTCCTGCCAAAATAACAATCAATTCAAAAACTGCAAACTCTGCTTGGAAGAAAAAATAGCTATAATTACCTTTCTAGACCAAACAAACTACTAGATAAACGGCCAGAACTCATCTCAAAATTTTTACTACTTTACTCAAAAACTGAAAAGAATAATTAAAAATAAATAAAAGAAAAAACAAGTAAAATAAATCATCTAAAAAAAATCCCGCCATAATAACCGTTAGAATAGACTACCCACAATGCACCACTGATCCTTATATATAAATAGTCGAGAAAAAAACACAACGCATGTGGCCTGATGATTGCGTTTAGCATGAAGCAGTCTGTCTCCTCTGTGTGTTGACTTCAGTTTTCACTTTTATATTTACATACGCTCTATCTCTGATATTGATCACTTTATCTCATAAATATAGCATACCTTAAAATTATATTTCTTTATATATATATATATATATATATATATACAAGGTGTCCATTGTTTCTTTACAATTTAAAAAAATTCATTATAAAAGCAAATGAACAGACAAATATATGGAAATTGTTACAAAATGAGGAGTAGATATTGAATTTTTGAAACTAATTTAATACACCTCTATATGAGCACCATTAATTACACGAAGAACATAAAGACGGTACTCGATTCCATGCCATGTTCGCTGTACCATAGCTTCATCAATGGTGGCAATGGAATCAGTGATCTTTTGCTTTAGATCAATGAATTCCCGTATCTTTGTTTGATACATAATATCTTTAACCTAACCATAGAAAAAGTTCTGAATTTTCGCTGAATCTACGTATCCGATTTTGTTTCAATAACCCATGACACTAATTGCACCTTTTCTTGAGGGGGTAGATATTTTTAGGGGGTCATTTAACAGTACCGCTTTCGTCAACAGGATACCTGGAATACACATAGGTAATGTGATTAAAAACTTTAATAACTACTGAGTACATTGAACAAATCTGATTATCTCATCAATTGCCTTTGCAATATATTTTATATACTGTTAAGAGACTTTATGAACACCCTATATAATTTCTGAGTGGTTTCGAATATACATGGTGCGTTGGAGAAAGATATCTATCATGTTCTTTGGTTGTATACATGACGTAACCATAGAAACGAATGAATTAAAAACGTAGGTCACAACGTTAGCCATTGTCTGAATCATACATTCTTTAATTATGGGCTTTATGAATGTTAGTACGTCTGGCGTGTGATTATCGACGGAAATATATTGATTAATATTCATTCTAGATATTTTCTTCGTAATAGGATATATTCGTTTTATGGCCTGTTTTATTTCTATGTGTTACTAAAGAGTTTAGTAAATTAGGTCTATTTTATGTTCATAGATGCGGATTTATAGGCTTCTGGTAGTTTCTTATGGCATAGCACGTATTCAATTTATTTTATATATCCCAGCTGCCGATTTTTTTGTTAACCAAATCTTTAATTATCTTGTATTGATGGTTATATTCTTAGTGTCTGGGATATATATATATATATATATATATATATATATATATATATATATATATATATATATATACGCCACAATGAAAACAATTGAGTTGCATCATAAATTCTCACACTACGAAATAAGAGATTGTAACTAGTTCTAATAAAAGTAGATAACACTGTGGATTTTTCAGATAAATATCAATATATACTGAAAATAATATATTTATATTTTATTTTATAAATGAGACAGAGTAGATATGAAAGTTTGTAGATATGAACAAAGTGTGATAAATGAAAAGAAAAGCAATTGTACAAGCTGAGTTAAAGAGATAGATAGATAGATAGATAGATAGATAGATAGATAGATGTTTATATTTAAGATTATATTGATATTTTAATAAATATGTGTAAACCATGTGAAGTTAAAAAGCAACTAAAACATTCGAAATACATTCACATCTTCGACAAAATAGACAACTAGATAGATAGATAGATAGATAGATAGATAGATAGATAGATAGATAGATAGATAGATAGATATGAACGCAATTTCATAGATAGATAGATAGATAGATAGATAGATAGATAGATATGAACATAGTTTGATTGATAGATATGAACGCAATTTCATAGAAAGAAAGAAAAAAAAAAAAAAGAAAAAGAAAGAAAGAAAGACAGACAGACAGACGTGTATATTTAAGATATTATTTATATTTTATCCAATGTGTGTAATAGATGTAAATTAAAAAAAAAACAACTAAAACATTCGAAATACATTCAGGTCTACGACGAAATAATAAAACAATTCTTGAGATATCCCGATTAACATTTACGTGAACCAACAAAAAGAAACTTATTCAGATACAAAACGGACGTCTTGTGTATCAAATACAGTTGCCGAGCCGATAAAATTATTTCCTTGAATTTTGGGACCGCCACGAAGCTAATTTGGTATGGTACGATCTGGCCTGTAGTGGACAGCGCCCAGGATGAGAAATCGGAGAGCCAAGTTCGAATTCCAGTTGAGTCCGTTATATTCCCAAGTGCCTTTTGGATATATATGAATCAATCCTTCCCACCCTCATCCCAGCTATAGGTAAATAACAGTAAAGACTGCTCCTATAGTCTTGGTTAGCAATCAGTCTATGAGAAGGACAACTCTGAATTGAAACCAGCCTCAAGAGTTCCGTAAAGATGTCTTGCCGAAGACACACCACTGCTTCTACAGCTGTAGCACATATGGCACCCCGACGATCTTCAGTGTTTAAGGTGAGGGACGTATGTCCGTGAGAGTTATTACGAAAAATATTTTTCTCCCTGTCACGATTATTTTTTTATACATTACTTGAAGTGATATAAAAATTCCTGGGGAATTTTTATTTTGAACCGGCGCTCTTGTTTTTTTTTTTGTTGTTGTTTTTTTTTAATTATTGAAAATCTTCCACCCGTCATTTCATAAAGCACTTGTATTTTTGCACCAAATACTATGTGATAGATGTCATGAACACATGATAAGCAGAGAGAGAGAAGTCACTCAATGCGCAAGTCATTCTGTATGGAAGCGTTGACGATCATTTAACATTGGCACCCCCCTTCTCTATCCCGGAACAATAACAAGAAATCAAGAAACCAAGCAACACAACAAAGATATTAATTCTTCTCAGATTGAGTGATGTTTACGAGCTCCGATGTAGCGAACCGCCGGAGTAACGTATCAACGTGAGGATACATGGCCGCCACTTCGAGCCTCTCCACTCTGTAACAATCACCACCCAGCTTCCGCTGCCCGCTCGGGCTAGTTCCGGGTCACTTCCGGTTTGTCTATGTGGAGGCAAGAGCGATGTCAGTTTGATTGATAGATTACACTTCGATGAAGAAATGCGACATTTGTGCTTTTCTCTCCGGAATGACGTAATTTAAATTTTGGGTTGATTTAACATGGCACATTTCGATTTGTTGCGCTTGGTCAGTGTTAAGAAAGTCATTTGAAACAGAGGGCGACATTGTTTGTGGTTTAAGTAGTTTTTACCAGCACATACACGCACACATAGAGACATAGACAGATTTTTTTAATCATTTCACCCCAAGCAAGGCAATAAAGCCACTAAGACACAATATATTACTGAGCGTGAAAGAATAAGAAAAAGAAAAATATTATTAAGCGAGCACAACAAAACAAGTGGAAACAAAAATATAAGATAACTACTTCATTTAAATTCTAGATACATAGAATATCCATATAACAGAAACGATACACTACGTGCCAAATTATTATTGAGATAACTTTTTTTCTAATATTTCAAAAACCGTCCAATCAATTCACACAATGTTGGCAAAACTGACCTGCATAATCACTGAAATTTTCGTACTGATCTGCGCAATGTACACAAAATGGCGCCATATTTGTTATCAGCACGGTGATTTGAGTGTGCCAAATTATTAGAAAAGTGTAAGAATTTAGGGAAAAGATGGGCCGTAAAAGCAGTTTAAGTGATGCTGAAAAAAAAACTATCACCTCAGAACTCTCAAAAGGTAAATCTACCCTAGAAATTTCTAAAATGATAGCGCGGTGTCATCAAACAGTGAAAAAGTTCACCGCCGACCCTACACAAGTAGGCAGATAAAGGCAAGCCGAGGGTTATTTCATGTCGTCTCATGTCACGACTTAAACAAGAGGCCACGAAGAACCCTGGACTTTCCAGTCAAGAGCTTTTCAGTCGCATTGGGGATCCTACTGTGTCTAAAAGTACTCGCTGTCGGTATCTGAGGGAAATAGCAACAACAGTCAAACCTGTATCGAAGCCTCCGTTGACGAGAAATCACATTCAAAATCGATTGAAATGGGCCGAGGACTATATGAAGATTGACTTCACTAAAGTTTAGTTCACAGACGAAACTCAAGCAACACTTGATGGGTCAGATGGATGGTGCAAAGGCTGGGTAATGAACGGACAGAATCTCCATCAGCGTTTAAGATGCCAACAAGACGGTGGAGGCATAATAATCTGGGGTGGTATTATTGGAAAAACATTAGTGGGCCCATGGAGAGTACTAGATGGCGTCAAAATGACTGCTGATGCATACATAGCGTTTATGAAGGAGCATCTTGAACCGTGGATGAAAAGGCAAAGAGTTGCCTTCAGAAGGGCCATTGTTTTATGCAAGATAATGCTCCCTCACATGCTGCTCACAAGACTACTGAATATTTGAAACAGTTAGGCTTCGATGGACCTCGAAAAATGAAGTGACCAGCAAATTCTCCGGATTTGAACCCAATCGAAAACCTTTGGAGCATCATGAAGTGAAGACTGTACGCCAAAGGATGAAAATTCAGGAGCAACGCTGAGTTGTGGGAAGCAATTCTTGACATATCTCGTGGCATTACAGCAGATGACATTCTACAATTAACAAATTCTATGGATCGTCGACTTCTTCAAGTAATTTCAAAATAGGCAAAGCACATTCCTTATTAATTTGTTTAAACGGTGCCTTTGTTTGTATCGGCTACTATTTGTTTGATTATCTTATTCATTAGCTTCTTTTGATCATAAACATTCACATGCAACATTAATAAACGTTTAGTTTGCTCAATTCTGGGAATTTTACTAAACCTTTCTAATAATTTGGCACGCTCAAATCACCGTACAGATAATAAATATGGTGCCAGTTTGTTTACGTTGCGCAGATCAGTACGAAAATTTCAGTCATTGCGTAGGTCAGTGATGCCAACATTGTGTGAAAATTTTGTGTGAATTGATTGGACGTTTTTTGAAATATTAGAAAAAAAGTTATCTTGATAATAATTTGGCACGCAGTGTATATTCTTATTCTAACGATAAGGACACACACACAATATATATATATATATATATATATATATATATATATATATATATATATATATATACATATATATATATATATATATATATATATATATATATATATATATATATATATATATATATATTATGTGTGTGTGTGTTCTTATCGTGTATATATATTATATATTATATAGCATATATTATATATTATATATATGTATCTTATCGTATATATATATATATATATATATTATGTGTGCGTGTTCTTATATTATATATATATATATATATATATATATATATATATATATATATATATAAAATATACAGAAAAAATACAAAAAAAAATCTTATCTTAATATGCAATTATGCTGTATTAATGTTAATATAAAGTCAACGTCGGACGTTTCGGTCTATTTTAGACCATCATCAGGACATATTCGTAAAACATAATTAACATTAGAACATATAAAATTCATGAAAAGACGATGGACATAAGAGCACAACTAATCCAAAGAGATAACTGAAATTTTTATATAAGATCAGCGTTCCGTTTAAATATGATCACGTCGTCGTCACGTGGGCGATATTGTAAAAACGTATTCGAAGATGATTTCAAAATATTAGAATATTAAACAAGTTCGATTGAACTATTTTCTCATATAAACAGTTCAAGAAATTCCTTCCGTTGATATAGGAATACGCAGAGATCAATAGGTTCTTATATCTTCATACAACCTTGAAGTCCTCCACGTTACAAAGCAAATCAAAAATGATTTCAAAATATTAGACAGGCATATATATATATATATATATATATATATATATATATATATATATATATATTTGAAAACAACTTCCGTTAAATAAGTCAGACAAGGAAATTAAATTAAGTTTCGATTTACTTTTATCAGCGTTCTTACATTTTTCATGTTTCCTGGTAGTAAGGGAGTGCCAAAATTATCCATTGTTCCAAGCGCTTTCGGCCATTTCTTTAGCCATTGTCAAGGGGAGTGTTTCAGATATTTTTCATTTCTCCTTATACTTTGACTGTTGAAGATGTATTTTATTTTTGTGTTGAATACTATTAAGAACGTTTATTCGGAGCCTTCGCGTGTTGAACGCGGCTGGAATTAGACCGTGTGTGTGTGCGTGCGTGATGCGCGTCTGTGCGTGTGGTTATCATGAAAAAAAAAATTACCGCACTGTGCTACTAATGCTTTTGCTAAGATAAGTGATTCATATATATATATATATATATATATATATATATATAGAGAGAGAGAGAGAGAGAGAGAGAGAGAGAGGGAGAGAATTTCTAATTCTTTTTGTTCCGCAAATAGCGGAGCTTTTTCTGTGGTTATTAAACTTTTATCCGAATTGGTTTTTCGTCCATCGGTGAGCTGACTTGGCGCATCATATGTTTTTGCCAGCTAAGAACTTGTGTTAAACGGAAGGGAGTTCCACAGGTTGGAAGGGGAGGAAAGAAACTGTTGGAGTAGATGTGGTGGTTGCATTCAGCAGTAAAAGGTATGTCAATATAGTAACAACTTAAATCCATATAGTCAGGGAAACCACGAGAGAAAAAAAAAAACTGGTTAGAGCTTTATCCATTAAAATATTTATAGAAAACACAGAGGGAAGCCACATCACGTCTGTGAGAATGTGACTGAAGTCGTGATGCCAAATCAGGATCGATTACATGACAGATCCTTCTTTCGATTTCGTCAAGAATCTCAAAATGTAAACCAAGAGCCACAGACCAGATATAGCAATATTATTTAATGCATGATCCAATGGCAGATTT